TTGAATCTTCTTCACGAACAACACCTCGTGGTTGAATTTTAATGACAGCTCTCCAATGATCTCGATGTCGTTTGGACGTTAGATAACTGATGTAACGTAATTGATCTGCTTGAGAAGATAGGATAAACGAATCGTTTTTGGAATACTTCTTGGATAAGTTGACATCAAAACCGCTCGATCCATTTCTTCTCATACCCCTTCCAATGGTCGGATCAAACCATCTTCAAACTAATATAGTTGTGGTATTCTAACACCATGATGTCTTGGAGGATACCATAAAAGTCTGGCTCATCAACCACATCACAATAATTTGCTCCTTTAACACATATCCCATAATTGGAAGTCTTTCGATCTGAATCATGAGTATAAGTATGGAAAGTGTATCCTCTTGTGAACATAATTGGCCAACATTTTACCATTCTTGATGAACCCCTGATCAAATCTTAAATCCAAATAGGAAAATTTTGCGATGAATGAGATACATACATTAAAAAAAAAGTTTATTAATTTAGATTTACAATTAGTCATTAAATATAAAAACTTAAAAATTAGTAAAATATTAGTATGTATATATATATATACTTACATAATTTTGTAACCATGTCGCAAACGATGATTCTTTGAGATCTATAAATGCTTCATCGCTCATATTAGGATTAAGTCTCTTTGTCTCCTCGTCAAATACTCTTTCTATTGGTCGAATTTCATCATAATTCAACAACGTATATGTGTGGGCATGACGAAATTCTTCGACAGATAACCATCGTTCTTTGCGATTTTCAACACAATCTCCCTGTATTTGTGTATATATTTTAATTAGACCGTAAAATGGTTAAATTTGTATATACATATATATATTTTTGGAAAATACAGTAAATTTAAAAGTACCTATTTGGTTGAATGTAGTCGGGATATCACAACCATCAACATGGTTAAATTGAAACATCATCTCATCTTCATTCCCATACCGAGAAGAACTTCTGGCTTTTGTCTTGATATGTGGCTCAAATTAGAAATTTGTGAAGTACGTAATTTCTTCGTTAACATATTGTTTCACGATTGCCCCTTCCGGTTTGTTCTTGTTTTTTACTTTTTTTTCAGATGGAAAAACAATCTTTCAAAAGGATATATCCATCGAAATTGCACTGGACCTCCAAGTCTTGCTTCATCTGGTAGGTGTATAGCTAAATGCTCCATAACATCGAAAAACGAAGGCGGAAATACCTTTTCTAGTGTACATATGATTAGAACATCATCAACATTAAGATTTCTTGAACATATATCTCTAAAAAATGTAATGATACCTGCATGCATGTATAAAAAGATTATCAATTGATATTATTTTTTGATTTATATATATTATTAAAAATAATTAAAAACCATGATATATATATATATATATATGTACCGCATAAAGGCTCGTAGACATTGCGCGAGAGTAGTTCAACAAGAGCAACTGGAAGAAGCCGTTGCATGAAGACATGACAATGACAATCATGACTCTTCATTCCATTTAACTTCACAGCATCAAGATCAGCACATCGCTCGATGTTAGATGCATAACCATCCGAGAATTGAACATCTTCCTTCAACCACTTCAGTAGTGCGATATTAGCACTTTTGGACAGTTTAAATATCGGAATTGCGGCTTTTCCATCATTGTTCAACTCTAACTCTTTTCGGTTGCATATTTCTTTGATGTCCATCCTTAATTTTAGGTTATCCTTTGACTTACCTTTGACATTCATGATCGTGTTGATCATGTTATCAAAGAAATTCTTCTCAATATGCATAACATCCAGATTATGTCAAAGCTTGTGAGTCCTCTAATAAGACAAATCCCAGAATATGCTTCTTTTGTACCAATTATGTGTCTCTCCGTATTCACATGGTTTGCGATGACCATTTCTACCACAATCAATGGTTTTATCCAAACCATGAATGCTCTCAATCCGCTCCCACAATATCTCTTCACCCGTCAAAAGAAGAGGAGGTGGATCTGTCACAACCTTATTCTTCCTGAAATTTATTTTGTTCCGTCTCCATGGATGATCTAGCGATAGAAACCTGCGATGACAGTCAAACCAATATGATTTCCTTCCATGTTTTAGCTGAATGATTGTATATCATCCATGCAATACGACCATGTCAATCTTCTATGAGTACTCCATCCCGATAACATTCCATAAGCCGGAAAATCACTTATGGTCCACATCAAAACAACCTTCAACTTGAAATTCTCTTTCTGTGAGGCATCATATGCATCAATTACACAATGCCACAACTCAAGTAATTCTTCGATCAAAGGCTGAAGAAAAATGTCAAAACTTTTCTTCGGATGCTCCGGGCCGGAATCAAAACCGTCAAGAATAAGAACTCTTTTTTCAGACACATATCTGGAGGTAAGTTATAAGGAGACATAACAATAGGCCACAACGAATATTGTTTGCCCGATTGACCATACGGTGCAAACCCATCTGTGCATAAACATAGATAAACATTTCTATGTTCTGATGCAAAGTTTGGATATACCTCGTTAAAATTCTTCCATGCATCACTGTCAGATGACTCATATTCTCACGATCTAATGTATGTTCAGCATGCCACCGTATATGTGAAGCTGTTTGATGAGATTCATACAATCTTCGCAGACGATCTTTAATCGGTAGATAAAACATCCTTTTGTAAGGAACACGGTTGCGTTGACCAGATTTTTTCGGCTTATATCTTTCAGCTCCATAAAATCGACAGTTGTCCAACTGGTTAGATTCTTTCCAAAATATCATACAGTTATTAGGACATAGATCGATATTTATCGATTCCATTCCCAACGATCCCATCGATTTTGACATATCATAATACGAATCTGGAGCGTTATTACCTTGGAAAAGATAATCATTCAGCATCTGACAAACTTCATCCATACAGTTCTCTATGAGATTATAACTCTTCTTCATCCCCATCAATCTAGCAGAAACCGATAGTTGAGAAAGTCCTTCTTTACAACCATCATAAATAGGTTGGTTTGCAGCCTCCAATAGATCGAAAAACTTTTTCGATGCCTCATTCACCGGATCTTCTATAACCTGATCATTATATTGAGATGGAAATGCATCTTGAACCATCTCAATATATGAATGTGGTTGATCATAGATTTAAGTATTTCTCACGGATATATTCTCATCAGAAATTTAGAACGTCTCACCATGATAAACTCAAACGTAATAGTTAGAGACAAAACATTTTTTCCATAGATGTCTCATGACAACTTCTGGAACTTCTTCTCTCTTGTTTTTACATCTTCGGCACAAATAATATAACTTTTCTCTCTAAAAGAAAATATGTTGATTTGTCGCAAATTCCAAAAAATTAGTCAATCCTTCTTCGTAATGCGTAGATACATTATCCGTAGAAGGATTTACTCTTTCGTACATCCATTTTCTCGAGTAATAAATATTGTTATTACTCGAAGTCATTTTTTGGAATTTTATTTCGGGTGTAAGAGTCTATGAGGTGGGTTTGTGGTATAAAAAAAAATAAAGTGACGCAATTTCGTCAGTAAAATAACAACTAGTGACGCAATTGCGTCACCAAACAAAAAAATTTGTGATGCATTTGCGTCACTAAATTATTCAGATAATGACGCAATTTCATCACAAAATATTTAGTGACGAAACTTCATCACTGAATTGGAATGACGAAATTGCGTCACCAATAAGTGATGCAAGGGTGACGAAATTTTCGCGCATCATTTGGCGATACAGTTTTGCGTCATAATTGCGTCATCAAATGGTGACGCTACATTATTCGTCATTAAAGCGTCACTAAATAGTGACAATTTAGTGACGTTTTTGTTGCGTCACTTTTTGCGTCACCAAATCATCATTATTGCGTCACCCTTTTGGTGATGCAACTTTTGTGTCACTTTTTGCGTCACCATTTTCGTGTTTCATTGTAGTGATATTTTGAGCTGGTATTGAGTCGGATTGACCGTATAATTTTCGTTGTAAATGTTATTATTTTTTTTTAAAAGACTTTCGGAATGGTCCGAATCGAGTCCAAAACCCGATTTTCGGGTTAGACTGAGCCAAATTTTGGGATTCGAGTCTAAATTGGTACTCTAGTATATATGTATATATTTTTACTTTTTATTTTTTATGTATGGTTTTTATTTTTTATTTTTTATTTTTTGATTTTGATTATTTTTACTTGTATCTATTATATCATGTATATGTGGAAATAAATGTGATGTGCACAATCATATCTACGTCATATCATCGTTTCAATCGACAGAAATCACTGAATTTTAACGTCGTTTGACGTCGTAAAATATTGTAATATATTTTGGGATTTGATACTATTATGGTAAATATTAATATAGTTTTATATCAAATTAAAAATTCTATAAAATGAAGATACATTTACATAAATTTGAAATTCTACGTTCTCTATTTTTTTCTCTAAAAGTTTTCATTTATATTTCTCATTTTATCCCATACGTATTACACGTATATTTAATTATGTAGATAATTTTGCATCGATATAAATAGTAATTCAATCCAATTTTAATAAACCTTTCATTACAAATCAAACCTTTTTTCAGTTACCAACTATTGAAACTCGGAAACTTTTGATAAAGTACTATATAATCTAGATCCAGATAATGCATTATTGTATTTACCAAACTGAAATTATTTAAGATTAAGCATACGATGTTCTAACAAATGAATGAACATATGAAATGACTGATCATTTTTTTAATTGTGAAATGTTTCCCCTTTTTTAATAGAAGGTTTTCTAAATTTTCCCTTCTTTTATGAGAAAAAAATATTATTAACACAAAAGACATTATTTTAGTAGAAAAGACAACAATGAAAACAGCAAATTTACTAAATTTACCTTTTATAATTATAATTTGACTTTTTTTTTTTTGGGGGGGGGGGGGAATAGGTTGCTTTAGCAAACGCCAGACACCCTATAAAATGCGCGCAAAATGCCTGCTGAGCATTCGCTGAGAAAATCTGTTGAGTTTCTTCTCTGGTTCATTGTGCGATTTGATGCGGCCGAGAGGAAGATCTCACAACCGTAGATCGAGGAGCTTCTCCAGATCCAGACTCGCCGTCGAGGGCCATTGAACTCTCCCAAACCTCTCTCACTTTTCGTCTTTCTCCGATTTCTCCGGCGTCCTCTTTCAGTTTTCCCGCGACTTCTCCGAAATGGCGTCTTCTTACGGTTAGATCTCTGACAATAACCTCCGTACACTAGTCTCATCGAATCTTACGACGGAAAACATTATGATTATCTGTTTATTTTAATGATTTTTTTTATATTGAGTGATACCAGACAATGATCACCGCATCGGCATCTAAATTTGTGGGTCCCCGACAGAAATTTCTTAGTATTGTTGTTGAATCATGTTTTAAAGCGATTAAATGTTCCTTTCATTTTTGTTAGAGATAGTATTATCAAAGAAATGGCATAAAAGGAGATATGCCTACTGATTCGAATCAGAGAGTGTTCCTGCTTTTTCTTCTGTTGTTCATCTGATTTGGAAGAGATTGATCGGTTTCGGTGGTGGTGTTGGAGCAGGCGAAGAGCGTGAGATCCAGAAGAGCTACTGGATGGAGCATTCGGCGGATTTGACAGTGGAGGCCATGATGCTTGACTCGAGAGCCGCTGATCTCGACAAGGAAGAACGTCCTGAAGTAAGATCCCCTGCACCCATGTTCCAGTTTTTCCATATGCGAAGTTCTCTGATTATTTCTCTAGAATCTGAGAAGTTTATGGGTAGGTGAATCCTTGGAAGATATAGGATGATGCGTCCATATCGATTCAGAGAGGAATCTTGGGGGGGTTGTATATAAGTTTGGGTCAAATTTTAACTACGTCCCTATCAATTGCTGTCTAAATCTTCCTTTTTATTTACATGCATGCTGTTGATTAAATGCTATTTCTTTCAAAGAACTATTTTGGTTTCTTGGTTTTACTTTCCCCTCATTACCAGCAAATGCATAGATTACTGCTAGGCCCTTGATTTGGCTTATGGGTGGCTTGTGCAGGTACTCTCCTTGCTCCCACCGTATGAAGGGAAGTCGGTGCTGGAACTAGGAGCAGGTATTGGTCGTTTCACTGGTGAATTGGCTCAAAAGGCTGGTGAAGTCATCGCCATTGATTTCATTGAGAGTGCGATTAAGAAGGTTACTACTTCGGTTTCTCTTATGTTCCCTGTTGTTAACTATAGTTAAATTTTGCTTTTTTCCACTTTACTCTCTGATATTTTTTATTTTTTTCTTGCAGAATGAAAGTGTCAATGGCCACTACAAAAACGTGAAATTTATGTGCATGGATGTGACATCCCCGGACCTGAAAATCACGGATGAATCAATTGATTTGTTATTCTCAAACTGGTTGCTGATGTATCTTTCTGATAAAGAGGTAAACCAGATTTTCTTACTCGATTTGTTCCTTTTTGAATGTTTAGTCCGAAATGTTGATGTTTTCAGCTTTTCATGCGATGCAGGTTGAGCATTTGGCAGAAAGGATGCTCAGATGGGTAAAGGTTGGGGGCTACATTATATTCAGAGAATCTTGCTTTCATCAATCTGGGGACAGCAAACGAAAATCAAACCCGACTCACTACCGTGAACCCAGATTCTATACTAAGGTCAGCCCTTTTACTTGACTTTAATATATTACTTTTTTTCGGAATTTTTTACTCAACTTTATTGAAAAATACAAATATAGAATTTGAAAGACAGTCATGCTATGCATGATTTTTATTTCGCTTACCATGAGAGTTCTTTTAGTAACCACAGTTATCCGTTTGACTCTTACCCAATTGTATTTCCTCTCAAATGGCTGAGCTAAATATTATCTTCTGCATGGGTATTGATTAGCTTCCACAACCTTGCCACTTAGAAATATGTGCTCTCTAGGTTTTTTTATCATCTTGTATATCTAGTTTGGTCACGTGTCAAGGGATGTATTAGTATGCTATATATATGATCAGTTATCTCTGATCTCCGTCCCCATCACTCGGTCCAATCACACCAAGTTTGCTCATCTAGTGGATATGGCTAGATACATGTTAAGAGTCCCACATCTGAAATATGTGGGGACAATTGAAAGTATATAAGACTATGGACACCTTCTCCCAACAAGCTAGCTTTTGGGATGAGATTTATCTATGGGCTTTGAGACTTGGTTAGGCCCATTATGAATGGGTTATATCAATTGGTACCAGAGTCCGGTTCCGGTGTTGGCTGGAACCAGGTTCTGATACCAATTGTTAGAACCCATCCATAATAGGTCCAACTAAATCTCAAAACCCATGAATAGAATTTATCCCAAAAACTAGTTTTTGGTTGAGGGTCCCTATGATCTTATGTACACTCAATTGTTCCCATATATTTTAGATGTGGGACTCTTACAATATGTCTGTCAAATTTTCTTCATCTTATTAAAGTGATGTCATAATGCAGATTTTCAAAGAATGCCAGACTCGTGATGGTGCTGGGAATTCATTTGAGCTCTCTCTGGTTGGCTGCAAATGCATTGGAGCTTACGTGAGAAACAAAAAGAACCAGAATCAGGCAAGAAAGCTTCTCTGCATAGAATATGTAGTTCTGTATCATTTGCCATCTGAATTGTCACACCGATTGGAGGTATGTTCCATGTTTTTGCAATGCAGATTTGCTGGATTTGGCAGAAAATCAGCTCAGAGAGTGATAGAGGATTCCAACGTTTCCTGGACAGTGTTCAGTACAAGTCCAGTGGGATCCTGCGCTATGAACGTGTATTCGGACAGGGGTTTGTGAGCACAGGAGGAATTGGTATGATGCTCGTTTCATATCTTATTTTCATCATTCATCTTGCCATGGGAAACACATGTATATAAACTTGAAGTGAAGTTCAAGGTGTGTTAGATGCCAGATGAAATTTATACTAACGATTACCCAATTCCATGCCTAGGGGTTATGTTTGCAAGGAAAAGAATTTTTTTTTTTTAAATGGAAGTTAATATGGTCGTGGTATATAAAACTGTCCTCAGCATGACAGAGTGTTGCTCTCCATCCAAGTTGGGTATTACTATCATGAAAAAATTTGTCATGGAAATATGCATATTTCATGGCCTGACTATATCTTACTTCTTGTCAAACCCATAAATCGTCCAAACATTTCGTATTTGTATGCTCGTAGTGTCACTTATAATAAAAGTTTCCTAATCGGGCTTTAAGGTATTCTTCTGTCTGTGTTTGTTCCTGGACAGTCACAACTAAGGAATTTGTGGCGAAGCTGGAGCTCAAGCCCGAACAGAAAGTTCTAGATGTTGGGTGTGGGATCGGTGGGGGTGACTTCTACATGGCTGAGAATTTCGATGTTCATGTTGTAGGAATCGATCTCTCCGTCAACATGATATCTTTCGCTCTAGAGCGTGCAATCGGGCTCAAATGCTCAGTCGAGTTTGAAGTTGCTGATTGCACCACGAAAACGTATCCCGATAACTCATTTGATGTCATTTACAGCCGTGACACGATTCTGCACATTCAGGTAAAAACCAGCATACTCTCCATCATTAGAATAATACCCATGAGTTTGTACGATGCTCTATCCGGTTGATGTGAATCCTATACCTTGAACGGGTCATTGGCCTTTCGAGCTTTAAGCCCCGCTCATCTCCTTAACGTCCTCAGCTTCCATGTCGTCCATCTTGATGTCCTCACCACCAGTGAACTTTGAAATTTCAAATTTTGAACTCGAAGGTTGCAACTTTGATGAGTTGCGAGCATTTATTTGTCTCTGGTTACAGGACAAGCCGGCTCTATTCAGGACATTCTTCAAGTGGCTTAAACCAGGAGGCAAAGTTCTCATCAGCGACTACTGCAGAAGCGCTAAGACCCCATCCCTAGAATTTGCAGAGTATATCAAACAGAGAGGATATGATCTTCATGATGTTCAAGCCTATGGGCAGGTTCGATGTTGCAGATTTCTTCTAAGACAACTCATTTGCGGTTTGATTTTGATATAATGCTTTGCTACCTGTCTGAAACTTGATACAGATGCTGAAAGACGCAGGCTTTGACGATGTCATAGCTGAGGACCGAACTGATCAGGTTGCCTGCCAACACACTCATATAAACATACATTTACTTATGCATATGCATATGCATAATCCTTGATGAAACTGTATTCGACTTAACCATTTTTGCATGTAGTTCATGCAAGTCCTGCAACGGGAACTGGACAAAGTTGAGATGGAAAAGGAAGAATTCATACGTGACTTTTCTGAGGTTTGTATTTTTTTTTTCGTATTTGTTTGGGCTGTTGCCATCTTTCTAGCTTTATGACCGTACAAATGATAAGAGCTACCAATCCAAATTAATTGACGACAGGAGGATTACGATGACATAGTGGGAGGATGGAAGGCGAAGCTGGAGAGGAGCGCTTCGGGTGAGCAGAAATGGGGATTGTTCTTCGCCCTCAAGAAGTGATTCCTTCTTTTTTTTTTTTCAGTTGAATAAAGAAAGCTTTGTGTTTGTGTACTTTGGTCTGTTGTGTCTTTGTCCGAATAAAACTGTCGTTCGTCGTGGACAAACAAGTCTTCAGCGTTTCTCCGCAATAATAATAATGATCATAATACTGACTATTGGTCACTGCAATAATAATGATTACAAATTATACCACGATTCGAAAATTTGATGTATGGTAGTGAACGTTAGAGAACGACGAAAGAACAACATGTGACCAAATAAAATTCCCTTCCATCATTGCTTCCTTAAGTCCCATAGGTTTGATCCTATAGAATCTGACCCTTTTTCTCATTGAGCGAAGGGTACGAAATAAATGAAATCAGATTGATTTTTCGATTAAAAAAAAATCACTATGTGAAATCTTCGTTTTTTTTCTTTCTCTATCGCTTTCCCATAAGTACAGCACTTGTTGAATCGATAGAGAACCTTTTCTAGTTGAGTCAGCTACCCTTTCGGGACTAGCATTTCTGCTACGCAGCTTAGGAAATCTCTCTTTCTTGCTGCTTAGCTCACTTTCAGCAACCCGGGAATGAGTGCCCCTTTCAGCGCGGAGGCACATCCGGAACAATAAGTGATCAAAATGATGATGTTATGATGGATGTGTGAATATATACGGATGAACATAATTCGGAATGAGGGTAGTAGAAAGAAAATAAGAGTTGTAACCATAGAAGAGTAAAAGTGTAGACCGTTAGACGCGTTAAGATGAAAGTAAAGAGGAAGGGATAAAGTTAGATTTACATGAAAATGAGTTATTGTAAATGATTTGAATATGTTGCAAATCTCGGATATGACGTAAAATCGAAATGAATATAATAGAAGAATACATATAGTCGACTCTAAATAAATTTGAGATTAAAACGATGTTGTTATTGTTGATTTTTTGTTCTCTTAGTCATGATTTAAAACACGTGTACAATATTTATTCATGATGAAATCAAAGGGATAATCTCCTACAAAAAAAACTGAACTTTGTTTATTTAGTAAATAAATATACAAACTTTTATTTTGTTAATAAAATATGTCAATTTTGATATTTTTAGTATAAATCTACACAAACACTCGGCGTCAAAAAACTAACGGAACTATCACCACGGCAGCAACACGTCATTTACAGATGCCACGTCACCGGTTTATTGATGACACGTCATTAATCAGATTTGAAACACGTAGGATTTTGAGCCTATTTTCCTGCTCGATTTTAATAAACCGAATCCAAACATATCAGGTTTTTAAACGTGTTCAAAGTTTGTTTTCTTTACAGTTTGCCTTTTTGTTCAAAAGAGAAACCCTAAGTTCGAAAATTCCCCCAAAAGCAATCTTCCACCACCGTCGACCATCCACGCTCCCTGTGACCGCCGTTCGGCGTCCACTGTCGACCACCGGCGCTCCTTGTAACCACCGTCCTCCTTCCGACTTCACCAAAAATCTCCACCAAAGCCGATTTTCCAAATTTTCGTTCGAAAGAGAGAAGTAAGTATGATTTTCGTTTCGAGTTGATTAGTTTTGATGATTCCTTGTTCTGTTGTTTCCGATTAGGTGTTTTAGATGGCTTTTAGATTTCGATTTCGGTCTTTGAAGTGGTTTAACAAATTTTTCAAAAAAACCCAAAATCAAGGGTTTCTAAAAAAAAAAAAAAAGTGGTGTGGTCTCAATTTGTTGTTCTGTTGTTGTCGATTAGTGGTTTTAAATGAGTTTTTTTTATATAGTTTATTTTTGTCTTGTGCAGATTCCATTGTCCCTAACCTCATATTTTGTCCGGATACAGTTGTTATTAATCGTTTGATTTAATGTGTAATGAAATCAAGATTAACTTTCATATGGGAGGCTTTATGGAATCTGTAGACGGACATTTGAAGTATGTTGATGGGATTATGAGGCTGAAATCATTAGATCTAACCCCAACACGACAACAGAAATCAAGACTGAGACCGATGTTAATGGTATCAGGACAACGAAGATTTGCACAAGTAAGTCTGTCAAAACGGAATCTTAACCATTGTTGAGTTCATTGACGACCTTTTTTTTTTTTTGCAGATTCAACCAGGTCTCGTACAAGCGAATCATCCACAGTCGAGACCCTCACAAGTGAACCCCCCACAGCCGATACCCTCACAAATGAATCCCGCACAGTTGAGACCCCCACAGCCTAGACCCACACAGCGGAGACCCTCGCAAGCAAACAAGCAACCAAGAACAGAAGCAAATTGTTCACAAACTGTAGTGACAAGTCAAGCATCAACGTCGGCTCAAGGTACACAACCGGCATTCAATGCATTCCCTTCGCAATCGAGTCGGACCTCGCTCGCAAACGGTATATCTTCAACCATCACGCAGACGTCGTCTTCTCAAAATTAATCAGGCGGCACAACTCCATGAGACTTCAAACCTGATGCTTCACCGAACTCCAAACACAGGGAGACCTTTTCGAGTGCCGAGACAAACTGATAAATCTGCAAATCACTAACTTATCTATATGTTTTCCACTTACTATATTTTTTGGATGCATTTGATTTGATGTATGGATATGATTTATGTTGGATGATTTGGGATGAATCGGATGTTAAGGATGTTTTTTTTAACAAAATGCATTTCAAGGGTTTCCACTTTCTGTTTTGAACATATAAAAGAAAACCACTAAACATTAATGAGATGATTTTATTAAACAGATGGCATTTATATACATCTGGAAATGACTCAAAATCCTACGGTTATTTCATATCAGATTATTGACGTGGCATCATTAAACCGGTGATGTGGCATCTCTAGATGACTTGTCGCTGACGTGGTAATGGTTCCGTTAGTTTTTTTACGCCGTTAATGTTTGTGTAGATTTATGCTAAAAATATTAAAATTGGTGTATTTTTTTACCAAAATAAAAGTTTGTATATTTATTTACTAAATAAACAAAGTTCATGTTTTTTAGGAGATTATCTCTGAAATCAAGTGTTATGTTGTTTGATATTAGTAATTAGAAATAGTAATTATTGAATAGATTTATGATATATTTTTATAACATTATATAAAATTTGATTGAAATTGATTGAAAATATTCCGGTTGGAATATCTATAGATATACGAAAATTGTTTCGCGAGTATTTAAATTCAAGTATCTACCTACAAAATAGGATAAAGAGACAAATAATTAGAAATGTTCCAATTTCGATTTAGATATCGTAGAAATCATAGGTATTTTCTAGGAGTGGCCATTTTGGTTATTAACTGAATAGCTGAACCAAACCAAACCGAATCGAATAAGACATAACTGTAATCGAACCGAATCCGACATAAAAATAGAACGATATTTCTCTAACCCCAGAAAAACCGAAACCGAACCGATTAAAAAAATAACTGAAAAAACCGATAATTTCTTTGAAAAAAATAATTTTTTTAGAACAAAAAATCCCAAACCGAACCGAACCGAAACGAAAAATAACCGAATGGTTATAGTTTTTTATAACCGAATCCGAATATAACTAAATCGAATCCAACCCAAAACCCGAAATGGCCACACCTAGTATTTTCTATGGGTGACCGCTATCCCCGACAATTAAGGTCGTTGTTCCCCTCATCTCAGACCGTTGTGGCTCGGTTGCTGCTCGTGGCCTCTGTCCTTGGACCGTAGTTGCAGGTACTGTCGGACTCGGTCCCCTTTACTGGGTGAGAACTCGTGCCAGTCGTGCACCCATGGCCTTCCATGAAGTCAGCCTCCATTATCTTCATGGCCTGCAAAATCAATCCAAGAACCAAGAACAAGGTTCGAGGTTTCCTTTCCTCCCAAATGTTTGATCAAACATTTCTTGACACCATTCAAAATAAAGGGTCTGCCCTATTTTAGATCAACGGAGTAACTTAGCTCCTTATCTTGCTAAGTCTTGCTCCATAATCCGAGCTCCGATTCGGTATCCCACGCCTTCTCCGTGCCTTCGGTCGTTGGTTTCGCCTGCATCTTCCCTTCACGTTTCCGAGAGTACCCGTAACGCAGTGGGTTTCTATCAGTATCATCCTTAGACGCTGCCAAACTAGATTCATGTATCCATGGTTTTGCAAGATCAGTCTCCAGTTTTCTTCTGCTAACTATACATAGACTCCCATCTTAACACAGATTATATGTGTGTGTGTTTCCTCTTTTGTTGTATTATCAGAAAAATGTTTCTGTTACAAAACTCAATCTTTATATGAAAAAGGAGATCCAGCTTATGTAAACACTTTAACCACCGCTTGTCCCTCATGAAATGACATTTTGGATCTCAGTAAACAGACAGAAGCTACAATTAGCATTATAACTATTGCAAAAGATAAAACAGAATTTTCTTTTGTTATTTACTTGAGTTTCCATTCCTCATATGATTATTAAGAACATTACAAATTCAGGAGGATATATATAACCCACATTCACCAGTAGTCTCCACAAGAACATGAACCATCCTTGAAATGGTGAAACCGATGGTTATCCCGCAAGATGATCACCCTCCCAGTGATTTTCGTTATATGCTTGATGGCATTATGACAGTCTTCGCATACACGCAGATTCTTCATCACTCGGATTGGTCTCCCTGATGGCAAACGCATTATCCCATATGCCACTGCTAATCTCTCGCTGTGGTACCTTACCATATGTTCCTTCTCTTCTTCTTCAACATCGTGCAAAACCACCCTCGTCGACGTAACATACCCTTCTTTCTTCAACCTCAGATCCAAATCCTCCATGAACGCATAGATCTCATTTCTCTCCGGATGCAGTTCATCGCCCACTGAAAAAGTATGGATCTTGTTCTGAATTTCAATCCAACTGAACCCCGGAATTTTCTTCACACCTTTGTCACGCATTCTCACTCGCATCTTACCTACATCGCTCCAACGAGCCGAGGCAGCGTATAGATTAGAGAGTAGAATATACATCCCCGGATTTTCGGGCTCCATTTCGAAAATCTTCTCCGCTGCTGTTTCTGCAACTTCTGTGTTCCCATGGATTCTGCTTGCACCGAGTAAGGCTCCCCATGTTGCAGCATCTGGCTCAAAGGGCATATCGTTCATCAGATTCTGGGCTTCTTCTAAACACCCAGCTCGGCCTAGAAGGTCCACCATACATGTGTAGTGCTGTGAGTTTGGCTTTATGCCATAGTCTCGAGTCATTTTGTAGAAATATTGCCTGCCTTTATCCACGAGTCCTGTGTGGCTGCATGCAGATAACACCGCAACCTGGAAGGAGGAAAAACAACCAGAATGAGAACGAATAATACTACTACAAGTACACTCTGTTATGGTAATAAAAGCTAAAGGATCAGGAGTTTCTTTTACCAGTGTCGCATCATCGGGTCTCAGTCCTTGTCTCTTCATCGACTCAAAAACCCTTAAAGCCTCTTCCCCAAAACCATGACGGGCGTAGCCGGCAATCATTGTGTTCCATGAGACCACATCTTTCTCAGCTATCTCCTCGAACGCATCATAGGCTTCTTCTATGCTCCCACATTTGCAATACATCAATAAGAGAGCATTACCAACGAAACACCCGGTCTCGTACCCAACTTTAACCAGCCTGCCATGCAATTGCTTCCCCAGTTCCAAAGCAGCAATGTCGGCACAAGTGCTTAAAGCAGAGGAGAAAGAAGATCGATTCAGTCTACCGCCTTCTCTCTCCATTTGTACAAACAGATTGAGAGCTTCCTCGCTGTACCCGCATTGTGAATACCCTGCGACCATAGCTGCCCAAGAAACAGGGTCCCTCCTAGGCATTTTATCAAAGAGGTTCTTAGCTTCGGAGATATTGCTGCACTGAGCATAGCCAGTGATCATCGTGTTCCAAGAAGTGACGTTACGGCAAGGCATAACATCAAACAATTCCTTTGCCATGTCCATTCTCTTGCTGTGCACATATCCTGCAATCATTGCATTCCATGAAACTTCATTTCTTTTCGGCATTTCATCGAACATTTCTCTCGCTTCCTCCACCAGACCGTTCTGCACGTATCCCGATACCATAGCAGTCCATGTAAACACATCTCGGACAGGAGATTCGTCGAACAGTTTCCGTGCCTCATCTATTCTCGAGTTCTGGGCATAACCAGTTATGATTGTATTCCACGAAATCACATCTCTCAAAGGCATATCATCAAAGAGTTGTCTTGCCTCGACAATCCTTTTCTTCTTCACGAACCCACCAAGCAAACAGTTCCACGAAACCAATGCCCAATTCTTCCTTGACTCAAACAATACGCAAGCCTCCTCCATTCTCCCATTCTGTACATACGCCGAGAGTAATGCGTTCCACGATACTTCGTTTTTCTCAGGCATTCGGTCAAAAATTCTTCTTGCCTCATCGACGCACCCGTTCTGAGCGTAACCCGACAACATCGTATTCCACGAACAAGCATCCTTCTCAAACATTCTCTCGAACAATTCCCTCGCCATACCCAGGTTCCGGTTCCTCACATACCCGCTGATAATCACATTCCAGGAAACAGGGTCGCGCTCAGGCATTTCGTCGAACAGTTTCCTGGCGAGCACGAGCTCGCCATTCATCAAGTATCCAGAGATCATGGCGTTGTAAGAGACTGAGCTCCGACGAGGCATGTCGTTGAAGACACGAAGTGCGGCGTCGCACCGACCGTCGCGCATGTATCCGCTGATGGCAATGTTCCATCCCTTGATATCGGCGTCTCCAGCTTTCGGCGGAGGCTTGCTCCGAGATTTCTGGATTTGAGCCGTACTTCTCTTTGGTGGGTATTGATTTGCTACGATGTTTGTCTTCTCTCTTGCTTGGAATCCATTGAAGCGTTGTTGCTGCCGCTGTGTTTGCCATGAGAGTGTCCGGCGCATCGCATTTGCTCCAACGGCGAAAACGTGCAAAAAAAAAAAGGACGCGAAATAACGGCAAATATTATGAGATTTTGCGAAATAACCCCTTAAAATGTGAATGTTTTACATTTAAGCCGCTATAATTTCGTACATACGTACGTAATTTTTTTTTTAAAAATTAAACAATGTTGGCTTCGGATTTGAGTTAGGTTTCTAATGCACGTGAGTATATTATTTGTTGCCTACTAACATGTTTGGGGGCATCAATGATTATTCGATCATTTTATTTTCATAAATATGAAACATTGTTCAAAGAATATACTCACTATATATATGCGATTGACATTTACATGCATATGTAGTGCAGAAACTTTCACATGCATGAGGCGTAATGACGCAAAAGTACATTATTAACTCATTCCATTTATGTCATTTCCCAAACTCATAGTCGTTACAAAATGAAAAGAAATAGCCATGAAAGTAAGAGAAAAGTTTTGTACGTCGCTGTCACGTTTTCTTTAATCTGAGTATGTGTCATTGTAATTGATGTCTTCCATAAACATTTCATAACATGTATATGTGTTCTAACATGTACATATAATCAGACATTTGGCGTGTAGACATACTATTGTTTTACATGAATTAATTATAGTCAAGTATCAAAATGAATCACAGCTACGGCTCATCTTCACTAAAAATGGATCGCTATAGTCCATTGGTCAAGTATTTGGAGGTTATTCTCCTCACCACTCAGCTTAGTCCATTGGTCAAGTGTCGACTGGATCACCCGCTCTATACCGAAGCACTCGTTCACTTGCTGGCTCGCGGCACACAAAAGGCTTCCCACAAAGGATCGCCTCTCAGCTTGTGTGACGAACATCACCCTCCAATGCTTCCTCTACAACAGAATGAATGCATTGATCATCTGTTCTTCAATAGTGATTTCTCAAAGGAAATACTCGTTTGGGATGCACCTCTGACATGGCTAGAGGGGAACACCTTTGGACAGGCACTCGACTGGGTTCAATCTTGCTCTCCAAACTAGACACTCAAGCTTATGATCCTACTACGAGGACCGTCTATATGGCATGGAGGGAACGGAACCTGCGACTCCACAAGAATCAATCATATCTCCTAGTCACGTGAAGACGACTATCGAGCATTCGGGGCAATTGGAGTGCACAAAACAACGAGGGCTCCTTACTCACAATCTGGTTTCGATTTTTTGAGTTGCTTTAGCTTTGGTTGCCTTCTTTTCTATTTTATCACCTGGGTCTGCTATGTCTGTTTGTTCTCTTGTACTGGCGTTGTGCCATAATCTCTCTTTTGTAATGGTTCATCATATATAAATACAAATTTACAGAAAAATGAATAATAATTTGGAAATCGCAATAAGATCCCATTTTAGAATTGAACTCTCCCATTTAGTACGCCTCCCACCAGAACTAAAGTCTGTTAGATTAATGTGGGTCTGGATACAACAAGAAAGAACAATAAAAACAATGAAATCGAAATAAAAACGAAAGAACCGGATATGATCTTCTAGGCGTGTAGAACACTTTCCTAAAACGTTATTCCCTCCCCACCGAGCAAAGGAGAAACCCGAGAATACGTTTAGAGATACAAAGAAGATCAGCAACGATTGATCTGCTCCTCAAACGTTGCCCGAAACAGAAAAACTCGAGAAAGAAGATGAACAGTAAAAGATGGAGAAGAAGTAGCAAGTTTCTTCACCAACAAGGCTCACAAATCTCTCAAAAATCAATTAGATTTCATACTTCTGTGTTCAGACGTCTAGGAATATTTTTAACACTCCAAAAGTCAAAAGGTACAAGGATAGGGAAGTTTTTTTCCGAACAGACACGATTTTTCGTTCATTTGAACAACTCAGAAAAATCAGGCGGGTCGCTCATTTTTCGAGCGGTCGCTCATTTTCCATTTTTTGTTCATCAGAGAAAATGAGCTACCCGCTCATTTTCCTGACCGGTCGCTCATTTTCGGTCGCTCATTTTCCGAGCGGTCGCTCATTTTCCCAGCGGTCGCTCATTTTCCCAGTTTTGTTCATCAGAGAAAATGAGCTACCCGCTCATTTTCCGAGCGGTCGCTCATTTTTTGAGCGGTCGCTCATTTTTTGAGCGGTCGCTCATTTTTTGAGCGGTCGCTCATTTTTTGAGCGGTCGCTCATTTTTT